TGTTGCGATAATAATTTTTTGCCTATATTGAATCTGTATACAAAAATGTAGTAACAAACCTTGTCCTTGCTTGACAGAACTCGTGAATTCTGGAGTCTGCTGAGTCAGCATACAAAACCGTCAGTATTTTTTACAACTGTACGTCACAAGAAAAACGTATTCATAAAGTAAAAAAAAATGTGTTAATAAAAATAAAAAAGTATGATAGTACGATTATTATATAAAATTACAAACAAAACAGAATTAATATTTACCTACACTGAATGAGCTTCCTACACAAAATTTCGGTTAAGTCAGCAAACAGTAAAAAAAATACCTATTGCTTTGCATGCATTTAAACATATCTCTATAAAAACTTAATATAAATCCTAAGTCCTATTTTAATTTGTAAATAATACGGTTAACGTTTTCATGTACGGGTACATTGAACTGCTCAATTCCTGTTACTATAAATCCGCTTTCTTGGTTAGCCAAGTAAGCGGATTTATAGTAACAGGAGCCATTCCTGATTATTCAGATTATGGAAAAGGATCTTATCTACAAACCCATTTGCCGATCATCTTGAATCAAAGAACATTTGAAGTTCGACAAAAACCTTTCTTCCGATGTCGTTCATTATCCAATTGTATGAAAAAGTGGGACATGTTAAAAATGTGAACGTTCACATTTTTAACATGTCAGCTTAGCCGAAGCTATTTTGGAAATGTATTTTTAAATGTCAATTTAATAAATATCTTAATATATATAAATCTCGTGTCACAATGTTTGTCCTCAATGGACTCCTAACCACTGAACCGATTATAATAAAATTCGCACACCATGTGCAGTTCGATCCAACTTGAGAGATAGGATAGTTTAAATCTCAAAGTATAGTCGCAATTTTAATTTATTGCAAATTATTACTTTTGGGCGGTACGAAGTCCTCCGAGTCAGCTAGTATATATATAAATATATATGAATAATATATATTTGGTATGTGTTATTAGCTTCATATAGTTAGACGGGACTCGAACACGCACCCTTATATACGCACGCATAACTGATTATGCGGGCAGATGCGGTGCGGGTTCGTATCCCGTCTGCTCCTGGTCGGCGTGGATTTTTTTCTAGTAAAATTTTCTTTACATTTAGGCATCTCTCTAACGTTACGTTTTTATAAAAACTATAGAAGCACTTGAAGTTCTCAAGGGATAATCGCTTCAAATAAAGCTTTTAGTCAGTAAGAGTCTGACATATCCTTGCAGCCCGCTGTGCGGTATCCACGAGGATTTCACACGCGCTCCCCGCCTGGGAGGAAATAATTTTTTTTATATCGAATCGACTTTGAGTTTGAGACGCAGTTTGACTTTGATTTAGGTGTTTCAGTTGAGATAAATAGATTAATATGAATTGGTTTTTCTAATTTCCGTAATTGAAAATAAGGATTTTTTTAAGCCGGGTTTTTTAAGTCAGCTCAAAAGGTAACCACGGCCTCGATGTTTAATCATAAGAGATTTTTATTAAATACCTAATTTATTGTTTTAATCTTTTAACATTTCAGTTTTTTTAGCTAGGTGTGACTTTGCCTCAAGCTTATAACAAATCCCTGGAAATGTAAAGAGGGTTTACCAACAAATTCGTATTCTCGAACTGTACGTGAAAGGGCTATGAAAATCAATTCGCACGTGTGAGTGGAATATCGTCGACGACAAAGGAATGGTGATGTACCCGGTGCCTCGTCAGCCGATGACAGAATGGCGATGGCGCAATGACAGTCCCCAAAGTGCTGCAGTAAAGACCCTTGGGGTGTTAGCTTTTGTACAGTATTTGAGAATCTGTAGTTGCGGTTACCGGCTTTATATAGTAAGGCTCGTATTACAGAATGACAACTAAGTGTTGATCTTTTCTTGATTATAGTTAGAATGGGATGTCGCTCTGTATAGCACATAGCGACATCCCTTTCTAACTGTAATACGAGCCTTAGTCTCAGATCGTTCCCAAGATCGTATTAGTAACCTGTATGGGTAATGGTTAAATATTGTAGTCGCCTATTGGCCAAGATTTTAAAGTTTGAGTTTCTTCTATTAAAGAGTCATACTTTGGTAATCTTTGTATGTGTATATCAGGGGCATGTTAGGCCGTGTAATGTTGTTTTTATTAATAAAATGTATTCTAATAATATGAGCCTTTCAGAACTTTAGATCCGTATAAATTTTAATTACGAAAGAATCTCGCACGCCTTCGTACGTACGGTTTCATTCATAGTTAAATTTAACAACCTTAGTCAAATGCATAGAAAATGTGTCAAATTTTAAACAAATTGTTACTTTTTCTATAGTATTATAACTATAGTCATATTAAACTATGTTCCGAACAACGCGGCCTAAATGTCGATCATAACTATTTTCGATTTAAGTTTGTGATCTTTTAACAAAAGTCTTACAATTAATTGTACGTAAATCCCTATTTACGTACAATTAATTGTAAGACATTAAGTTAAAATTATGACAAACCTCTATTATCGTAATCTTTAGTACAATGATAGCAGAAATTATAATTTAACTGGTTACGTGGAATCGTTGCAAAAAAAAGGCAAACCAGATTCACTCTTCAGTAATACAATGTCAAAAAAACACCAGCCTATCCGTTTTATAATACAAATTGTATCCAGCACAGATTTGACACGGGTAAGGTAAAAGTATTTTTGGTTGACAGGAGTGAATCGCTGTTTTAAAACTTTTTTTGGAAATCTGACGATGGCTAACGGTCAAGGTGGCAGACAGTTTGGAGTGCTTTTTTAGTTAAAGTTCGGGTTGCTAAACAACGGATTCGTGTCCATTTCTATCACGAGTACATTTCGTTTAATACGTGATCCAGTTTTAAGAGGCAGTTGGTTCGAATTCGATTCTTTCCCAAAATTCTCAAATATCTGATCTTTTCAACTTTATTGTACTATTAGATATATCTATAGCTTAGTTTCTTAGTCTGAGATCCCGCCTCTCCATTTTGCAGCCATCTGCCATCTTTTTAATAAAACTTGGTTTAAATGAAGGATGCATTAGTGACGGGTTGCCTAAAAAGTAGTCATACTTAGTTTTTATTAAATTTAGTGACATCCATTTATTTATGTAAATTGTACTGATATCCTTTTATAATATTTTACGTAATTTTAAAGGAAATGATGTGAAGAATTAAAAAAATAATGGTTGCCAGCTCAGTAAACAGGTACAACATCAATGTTGAAAATACGAGAGCTGGTAACCATTATATTATGAATTCATCAAACCGTCTTTTTTTTCTTTTCAAATGACGTAAATTAATTAAGAAAACAGACTTTTTCAATGAAAGTAAACCATCGTGTTATACAACCTAATAGGATTAGGAATCGTATATTTTTGGGGTTATTAATTGGTTTTTTATAGAAAAACATTTTCATCTATTTGAATTAAATCATATTTTATCATTCAACACTAAAACAAAATAATGAAAAGCTCTTCAAATATGTTAACTTTAACATTAAACTCATTTAGCTTTAAATGTTATTGTTACTCCAGAAAGCAAAGAACGAATTAATCCAAACACTTTATACTTAATTCACATTCGCACGACATTTTAACATATTATCTTAAAGTGTTACAAACGCCCATAAACCTATGTATTTTAATGAAGATCTTTTGAATGCTAATTTCAATGAATTTTAATACGGAAGTCCTTTAATGTCGAATTAGAAAGGAAAATGTTAAATTGCTATTTTTAACTCTCCGTGGTTCAAAGGTACCTATTAGTGTCTAAAGGTTTTATTTAAAATATTTTTCCGGGGTTTATTTTAATATATGTTTGGGGTGGGTCGTATGAACACCAAAAATTTAAGTTTAAACAAAACTGTTTATTTTAATTTATCTTTTCTTATACGCTTTTAAATTTCATAATTAATATTAAAAAAAATTTTTTACAATACAGTTTTCTTTATCATTTTTTTAACATTCAGTACTTCCGCATATACAGGTATCTTTTAATATTTTGAGTAGATAATATTAACCGACATACTCTTTTAAAATACTATATTAAACGTTCATAGAAACCCTCTTTAAAGTAACTGCAGAAATGCTTTATATATCTAACACGAAGAGAAGTAGATATGACATAAATGAAGTAATCAGTATATCCTTTGAAATGATAATTAAATTTTCGCTGAGTTTTTAAAGAGTCGGAATTTCCTCCCGAACAATTAACAAGCTTAGCATTGACTTAAACTTTCTACAACAGTTTGAAAGTTTCTAAGTAATCATTTGATAATACTGCATGATTATTCTAAGAAGTTTTCAACTGTACATCATTATAGATACAGAAAACTTTATCTTCGTACATAATTATGAAGTTGCGATCCTTTGTGCGGTTCAGTATATTATATTAATGACGTAAATTAGAAATAATAATTTTGAATTTGAATTAAATTACCTATATTTTCATTTTAGTAACATATTTGATTATAAAAGAAGATAAAAAATACACTTGATTCCTTGTACGCTTTACTATATCAACGACGTCAATTCTATTAAATAATTACGAACCGTGTGTGTAGATGGCATTGAAATTTATAATTTTCTTCTAGTTGTAAAGCATACATAACTTTTTGGCAAAAAAGTTTTTATACCTTATATCCGTTTACGGAAAAAGTTTCCTTATAAAATCAACTACATTGATTCACTTGTTTCCCCAGTACGGTAAAATTTATTTTATTCATAGCTGCAATGATTTCCACTTACTTGACACGTATACAGCATTAAATTATAATTATCTTCTAGTAATAAAAACATATTTAATTGTGTTACATTTCGGTAATAAGTTGTTCTATCTACAAAAGAAAATGGAATCGTTTGTCTCCCTAAAACGGTAAATTTTATTTAATTGTGTTAGTTTTCGAAAAAAAAGTTTTTATATCTATAAAAAAAACATTGGAATCGTCTGTCTACCAGATACGGTAATTTTTTTTTTCTACAACAACACTAATTTCCACTTACTTGTCACGTGTGCTTGCTTCGACAGCTACAGCCAGAGACCAGCCACCAGCGACGGTTGCAACAAGTGTGTTGCGCCCGCCCGCCCTAGCCACCGCTTATATACCCGCCGGGCGCCGCCCTCGGCCGCCCACCGCCCTCATAGACGGAACGCTAACATAGTTTACATTTCAATCTTACGAATCAAAACCTCTTCGTTGACACGATTTACGACAGTTCACAAAATAGGCAAAAGCAAAGGTAGGCTAACCACAGTTATGATACTAAATTGTTTACATTTCAATTTTATTAATCAAAACCTCTTCGTTGATACTACTAACGGCAGTTCACCATATAGGCTAAAGCAAAGGTAGGCTTACCGTATGTTTTGATACTAAATTGTTTTCATTTTTTTTTTCAAATTAAAACCACGATTTCATGCGGCTTACGACAGTTCACAATTTAGGCAAAAGCAAAGGTAGGCTTAACATAGTGATGGTAATAAATTATTAACATTTCCGTTTTATGAATCTCCTAATTCTCAAGTACAAAACCTCGTAATTATCAAGACCCACTTGTTCGGAAATTCTACAGAGGCATGAGGCAGGAGGCAGAGGGCATTGTGCCCAGGTCTTCCACAGTCTCAGCCATGACCACTATATCATCAGCAAAACGAGGCTGTAACATGTACTCGCCTTTTATGTTGATGCCATGTCCTTTCCAGTCCAAAAGTCCCATCATGGTACTACTCCACAGTGGCTGGTGAAAATACAAGACGAATTGCTAGGAAATAAATAAATATGTTTAATATCTGTGTTTGAGTCCACTTGCAACTGAAAGACAAGGGACGATCGATTTAAATATTGGCAGGGTAAATTAACGAAAACACATTCTTCTCTCGTATAATGGTCAGGTTGGTTGGTACTGATTTTATTTCGGGTTTTCTCACTTTTCACTTTCACTTCTTCAATTTAATCACCTTATCATTTCAATACATGTGCTTTACCAACGCCACGATGAAGAAAATATCTACTGAAATAACATAATTTTCCTTTGTATTGTGTACCATTTTTGAGCGTAAGCATCTTTTTCTTTTTTCAAAAGTTGAACGTTTTTATCAATGAAACGTAATGAGATAGTATGACGAATATAATACATTTTAAAAATAACTGAATATTCAACAATTTTAACAAGATCTTGGGTAATGAGATATAAATATCATAAGACTAATATACCTATTAAACGGAGTGATTACTTTCTCTATGTCTGGTTACATTATTTTATTATTACTATTAGATTCAAGACTGTACGTAAGTACCAACATTTTAGGTTTGACCTGCACACAGCAACATGATTTTTATTATTATTGATATTCAAAAACGTTCACAAATTTAAATTAAATAAGAATTATTATCGTGTCACGAACAGTACTACTCTTTAAGTAAAATTATATCAAAAACATTTTTAATTCTTACAATACTTATAAGATTACTTTTTAATTCTTATTCTTTAATAACGCTATAATTCGTGGCCCAAAAAAGGACTAGTTACATTTATTAATATTTAATTATTTGCAGAAAAGGCAGTGAAGATAATTTTCTAATCGCTTTTCACATGCGAATAATTTAATCAGTAAATAAACATACCGCAACTTCCTCATTTGCTTTTCAAACCCCAATTATGCAAAATATAATGATGGCTCCCCGATATGAACTGAGACACCAAAAGCATCAGTATTTTATAATTATTTATTCGATGTAACATGGTTGAAAATAGCTTTAATATCAATAGTTACCAAAATATTCTGTTGATTTACATTAAATTGACGACCTGCATGGCCAAGTGGTATGAAGGCCGGGTTTTAAGGGGTCGCCAACTCGAGAGGGTTCGAATCCCGGTGGGACGACCTCCGTGGCCGAGTGGTTTATACGCCGGGTTTCATGGTGTCGCCGACTCGATAGGTCCCGGGTTCGAATCCCGGTGGGGGCAGATGTTTGTGTGATGAATACGAGCATTTGTACTCCAGTCATGGATGTTTAATATGTATTTCTATATAAATATACTTATATATATACTGTATATGTATTCTATCCGTTACCCTAATAACACAAGCCATACAGTGCTTACTTTGGGGCTAGGCTAATTGGTGTGAGTGTTGGAAACATTTTATTTTTTATTTTATTTTTTAGTATGATGAATATGAGCATTTGTGAAAATGTCAGTCATGAAAATTTATATTTATTTGTGGACAAAAAATATATATGTATATAATATAAGTATTTTTATAACACATGTCTTACAGTGCTTACTTTGGGGCTAGGCTAATTGTTGTTAGTGCTAGAAATATTTATTATTAGCCTTCATAATTAATATCAGTCAGTCACACGTAGAGCCCATGTGAACCCCAGTTTCATACACATGGGATTCTAACGACCTTACGACTACAGAATCGTCACATTTGGAAGCAGTATACCCTTTCTATCTTCACGGACAGGAGACGCTTCTAATTCATTTCATTAATTGGCCTTCTTATAAGAGGCCAATGAGAGCTTTACCATAAGCTTTACAATAAAGTAACAGAAGACCATCTTATTGGACAGCCGACTACCTATACCATATACAATTTCCACGACATGAGTTCCCCCTTACGAGGTGGTGACAATACTCTAATGACAGCCCGCCTTTAGTCACGGGACGCTCTCGCGAGATGATAATGCGTCAACAAATATATCAAGCCTTAGAAGAAAAATAAAAAGTAAATTTCTGACATCTCCAATCATTTAGTCGAGAGCTTGTACTAAGGAATCTATGTATGTATACCCATATTGTGTTATGATAAGTGTGACTCATTTCTTTGTCGCACTATCTGTAAATGGAATGCTCTGCCTGCTCACATGTTCCCTCCTTCTTATAATCTGGGGTTCCTTTAAAAGAAGCGTGAAGAAGCAATATGCAGGCCGGCTAGGTGAGGATTGCTGGTGTGACAGCTAGAACTGCTGTACCAGCTATCTATCACTTGTGGAGTTCACCGTCACTTAACATCAGGTGGGGTGAAGTCATTTGTCGGACCTATCTATAAAAAAATATACACCGTGAATTAAAAAATAAAAATCGTGTAAATATAGTGCGAACAGTGATAAACAGCAAACATGATACACCATACAAAAATACTGATTAAAATCTTTTATAAAATAATGTAAACCGACACAAATTTGTTAATAACAGACCTATTATGGCATTATCATCTGTTTAAAGTACGAGGATCCTAAAAGTAGTTCTATTTGAATCGAATAATAATGATTAAAATTGTTAAGGTTTCATAATTGCAGAAATAGTGTGTAAACGTGGACACATATTCAAAAAACATGCGGTAATATTACGATCTAAATCGTTGTATGAATAAGCTGCTAAACTCAAAATTCACGATGCATAAATAACCATGACTCCGGAACCAATAATTGGGCTCATCATACAAATATATCCAGCCACTCATCACAGCATAACAAAAGCCCACTGTTGGGGCACAGGCCTTTGACTCTGGATAGAACAGGGAGATTGGACCGTAACCCATCATCCATGCCCAGTGCGGATTGGTGGGTGCTGCAGATGCAGTCAGGGCCAACGGCTTAAAGTGCCTACCGAAGCACGTAGGAACTCAATATATTAAGATTTTGGTCAATCATCAAATGACCGACCATTGCGACGTTGCTTAACTTCTACGATCGCAAGCTAAACACGGCAACCACCTGCGCCATCGAGCTCCTTTATACAAATATATGCCTTCTGGTGTATAAACCTTTGGAGCAGAAGATTAAGAAGGAAAAACTTCATTTCTGGGGCTGGCCCTTTAAATGATCCGTCCGTCCCGGATGGACAGATGGATTTGTTTTAACTTCCACCTTTCACCAGTGGTTAGTATCATGGGGCTGTTGCCATGTTCCTAGTTCAGAAGACGACTCTGCACAATTACCTATTCCTGAAATGGCACAGTCCACTCAGAGTTATGAAAAGGGTCATGCAGAAACCTAAAAAAGCCTTCACTTCCTACAAGTTGACTGCTGTCGACCTTGAGAATTTCCGATGTACCTATATACCTTAACAAATGGAAATTCTGCAGTAAATTAACAAACCTTAATAGTACAATGTTTTGGTATCTCTTACATTCGTTATCCCTATTATGAAATGAAAACAAGATAATAAAACCGGCCTGGTGCGAGTCGGATTCACGCACGAAGGGTTCCGTACCATTATCTATACAACATTAGATACTATAAAATTATTTAATATAAAAAAGCATATTACAAAGTGTCTGATTATATGACAGACAAAAATGCTTGGGTTTGAACTGTTCCAATCATTCCAACAGGTTTTCTATATTAAATAAATCATGATTGTATTGACGTTGTAACACCATAATGATTTGTAAATGTTGTTACATTATACTTTTAATGTTGTGGAGTTTTTTCGCTCGTTTTTCTCCGCAGCTAAACAATATGTCCAATAACGAGTGGTAGGGAAAAAAAGTTTGGACGATTCAACAGTGTTGTACTATACAACCAATTTGAATAAAGATAATATATGTTGATTGATTGATTGAATATCGAGCAAAAAACACCAACAGGGAGCCCCTTTAAATATTGAGTTTTATTTATTTGTTTTTAAAGTGAATTTATAACTAAATATTCTGTAAATATATTAATTGCGTCTACCTATTTTCGTTATTAACATCAAACAGAACACGGCAAACAGTCACATTTGTTGTATGGGAGCTCTCCTTAAATATCGATATAGCCTGGTGACACACAGACAGCTTTAGTAATAGAGTCCCATATTTACCCTATGGGTACGGAACTGTAAAATTTGGTATGGTGCATATCGAAACAGAATATTGGAACGGTTTGCTGAACAGAGGTGTTCACCACTACATTTTCAATAGAAAACAGTGCCCGCGTTTCTTTCAATAAGCATACCCAGCCTGATCAATCACAATTTCCCAGTGATTTGCGAGCGCCGGAGGAGCAATCTCGACTCGCCGTTTTGCGAGATCCGCCGCAAATTTCCCGTAAACCGCCGAAACTGCATTTCGTTTGGGATTAGTTTTGATACAATTCTCTAAAGAGCACTATCAACTTAAATCCTTTCAAGAATGTTATTTACAAATAAACATTTGT